GAAACATACCCGCCTTCCTTGGGTTTTTGCTAAATATACATTCTCAAAGGCAACAATCTCACCTTTGTGGTTCAGGGCTGGATGTTCTCCTTCACACTTGGGGGTTTGTTTCTCCCTCCTAGGGGCTTTGGAAATCCTCATCCACAGCTTCTGGGCATGTTCAGAGTACATGATCAAGTCTGCCGTCTCAGAGACCATGAAACTAATAGAGGCACTAAAAATCATCTATTGTATTTCCTTACTCAAAAGATCACCACAGGTACTATAGTTACCTGCTACAGCTTTAAGCAGAAACTTCCCAGACATGGTATGCTTTGGTTGAGGAGAGAGTCTCCGGGCATTCTCGGCACTGAGGTCTTTGCATGGTAGCTGTCTGTCTTTCTTGAGTCTTCATTTCTCTTTCTTCACTGTCTTGGCACCAAGATCCTGTTCAGCTAGGACTGATGCATCTTCCTTTATCTGTTATAAAGATTGATCCTCCCCTATAAAGCCTGCTATTTATACCTCTACTGACCACAGGGCCATAAACCATTTTCCAAAGCTACCCACCACTTATTTATGTTTATTTATTTGTACATGCATATGTATGTTTGTGTGTTGGTGGGTATGGAGTTGGGTACTTGTATCAACATGCATGTAAAAGGCAGAGGACAGCCTTAGGTTTATTTCATCAAAGAATGTCCAATTTTTGTTTTTTTGAGACAGAATTTCTCATTAGCCTGTAGCCAGTCAACTGGTTAGGCTGGCAATCTGAGTACCAGGACTCTACGAGGCTTTTGAGTTCTGGGATTACAAGTCTGTGTCAGCAAATGATTTTTTAATTTTTACATGAGTTCTGGGGATCTAGCTCAAGTCCCTGTACTGGAAAGGCTAGCAACGTATCAATTGGGTATTGTCATTGCCTTATTTATTGATTTTGACCTTGCTTAACAAGTACCATAGTTTCCTAGTCTCCAGGCTAGCAGGCATTCTAAGAAGCAGTGCAGGTCTTTTACAATTGCCTTTTGAGTTCTAGCTGATGTTTTTCCCCCCCCTCTTGTATGCTTCTTTTGTTTGACCCTAAAAGATAGGTGATTTATTATGTGATAATGTCATCAAACTCTTTATCTGTTCTGAGATAAAAGATCAACCGCCCCCAGGGGCGGAGCCCACAGGATGGGTTCCTGAAACCAATCTTTACCAGAAATTATGCAGTTGGTGGTCTAGCACAACATAAGGCTGCAAGGCAGAGCCGGTCCTCTCAGCAGGGCACTGAAACCCTAAAGTCATCTCCCAACAGGAAGTCCTCCTTTCCTATTACACAGAGGCTCAGAGTATGGGCGGGACACCCAGTACCATCTGCTCTTATCTCCTGCCCCATCCACTGCTATGATGGAGCAGAAAGACTGGTGTCCTCTGGCACTCATAACTACCCATAGATGAGACTCAGAATTAAGAAAAAAGTAAATGGGTTCTCGCCCCAAGTCTCTCACGTTGGTGATCTTAGGCTTTGTCCTGTGATCCCTAGGTGGGGGAGCAGGCTACAGCATTTTGAGGTGCTTGCAGGTCACACATTCTACTGATTTTGGATTGCGTGGTCTCCCAGAACGAAGTTTAAAGATGACACCTATGAGGTGTGGGTTCCTGGGGGTCCACGTATCCAGGCCATGCTGTCGCCATGATGGTCTTTGTCTCTCCAACATCCCACTTGTCACTTGTCTAGCAGATTTTTTGTCTGTTTGTTTGACATAGTTTGTGATCTACACGACTGCTAGCGCTTTGCTCTGAGTTCAAAGGCAAGATACAAATTTGGATTCCCACTCCTCCAGATTGTGATAATTGCCATATCATAATCACCCTCTACAGAAAAACCTCCTCTTAAAGTGAAGCTCAGAGGCTGATGGTAGAGAGTAAGGGTCATCAACACTGGTGTCTTAGCAAGAGATGGTCACTTTTCGCATTTTCTTTCCACATTCCTTCCTTCAAGTGAACAATTTCCTGAGGCTTTTGGAAGGTGTGTGTTTGGAATGTGCGGGCTCCTGGCTCTGGGAGTTGATCCTCTTTATTCATGGCTTCCATATTTAAGAGTGTGCAATTTTTTTATAACCCTCACATCAGGGCTTTCTATGGCTATGCACAGGCAAGGAGCACGACAAGCAATCCGAGCTGATCACTCTGCACGCATTCACAGCCTAGTCTGAGAAAGTCCCTGAGCCTAGTATCAGCTTAATGGAGTAAACAATTCCTTCTCACGCTAACTTTGTTTTATTTTATTTGCATTTTAGTGCTTTTTGTTGCTGGTGGTGATGCTGGTTCATTCAAGTAGCATCGAGTGCTGTCTAGTGTTCCTAAGCAACAGCCTGCCTCATGGAGAGAATGCATAGTTCGTGTGGTTTCAAATCCAATGCTAAGGAAGTAACAGTACATATGAACTATAAACAAGTGTATATATTGTCCACTTAGTGAACATCCGGTGAAAAGGTTCAGAGTCCCCCTAATAACAGCATGTCTCCCTGGTGTTATGGTGCAGCATCCAGTCATTTGGTGGTTATGGTAACTTATGTACACAGCTGCTGTGACTAACATCTGGAATTGGCTGGGAGAAGAGTTTCCTAAATTTGTCTTCTAACTTCTCTGGAAATAAGTGGGTTTAATGGTGTAATATTTGGGAGTTGTGGGGAGGAATGGAACACACAAAGAATGGGATTGCAGGAAGTAACCTCAGCAGGGCTAAGATGGACTGAAGAAGTTCAAGGCTCTTCTGACTGAGTGTCACAGTGAAACCCAAGGAGGAGATAATTTTGGTCTTTAATTCACACGTGACTTTAATTTCTCCTTCCTATGTTAGTGGTGTGAGAAATTTAAGTTGGAGTGTCTGAGGGGAATAGGATAGTATTGTATAGTCATTGGTTTGTTGCTCAGTTTCTTTTGCCTTGTTTGTAGATTGCAATTGGGCAGCATTGGAGATTGGAAGAGGTTGGGCTGGCCCAGTTACAGGAATATATTTGGTTTGCCCTGTTCCAATCCCTGGTTGAGCCATTTGTGGATCAAATCTGGATTCTTCTCTTTTGGAGGGGGCATGTAGCAGGAGCTTTTCTGACTTCAAAGCAGGCAGTATGACTTTCCAATTAGCTGCTGCCTTTCTCTCCCACGGAGGACAATCATAGCTAAGGCAGTGAGAGTCTGGGCTATTAAGCTGGACGAGTTAAGAGAGCTAGCCATTGAGGACTGTCAGGTTCTCATTTCTGCATCTTCTTGGAGCCCACGGAGGGAGGCTGTTATTCACGAGGCTGGATGAGCATCTCCCATGGATGTGTGGAAAGCAATCCCGAGAGCTGTGAGAGAAGTGGATGACAGTGTGGAGGGAGAGCTGTGAGAGGTGTGTGAGAGCTCGGTTGGAGAATTGTATGTGTATGGATGACAGAAGTCTTTAAAAAGGGAAGCGTTTTTTCTTGGGGGGTTCTCCTAAGCCGACTTGGGGAGCATAAAGTTTTTCTTAACGCAACTGACTGGTCTCTGTGTCATCTATCCCGACCACCTCACTACATTCTCGGATGCAGGCTGCTCAGCAGGTGCGACAGAAGAAGTCATTTCTAGAGCCTGCTTGTTAGAGAGTAGGATGTGTCACGTCTCAGGATCTCACCACATTAGGTCTTCTTCAAGGTTGAGTGACAGACTTTAAACCCTTAACAGAGGCTGAGTTGCTAAGGCAGTGGGAGGAATCAACATGATTAAGTTCTTTCAAACAATCACTACCAGGTGTCAGAGCAATATGTTTTATATCCTCTTTGATATGAAGTTATTATAAATGTCCTATGTTATGTTTTGTGACATGGTTTATACCCACTTTTTATTTTCATATATTATTTGTTTCATTTTATATTTGGAAAAACTTAATTTAAAAACAAATAAGGAAACAACTGGAATAGTGCATAAAGTAGCATTGTCATGGCACATTGATACATTTTGTGGGTAAGAGAAACTTAACATTTTGGGTCTAAAGTTTTTAGAGGGAGATAAATATTTGGTTTCTACATGAGTTGCTCAATGGAAAATTAAAATCAGGCAGTGTGCAGATCTCAAGCTTGAATGTCACACAGATCAGTGGTTGTCACTTGACTTTAAGTTGACTTTCAACTTTCCATGTCTACATATATATGTATATATGTGTACATTCATGCATATATATATATATATATATATATATATATTCAGACAAAACATGGGAGCATCCAGAAGAGGTACTTGTAGTATTGGCGAATGACAATTGATTCATAAAGATTAAGATGTTTAGGTTCAGACATTCCTTTAAATAGCTCTTTGTAACAGAAGTAATTCTGAAAAGTAACACCAAATTAATAACATGAAAAAAGGGAACATTAACCATATTACTTTTTAAAATATATGCTTAGGAAAATTGTGCTTCATATAACCCTCAAGAATGGTGTGGATGACTTAGGTTTTTCTTTGGAATTAAACCACAGCCCTATTGATAATCCAATTCTGTTACCAAGGAATGATCTTGACCTACTAATTGTGTTTCCAGTCATTCTTCCCAACATACTACAAATAGTGATGGCCAATCATGGTGCTCTAAAGCCAAGGACTCCTGAGGCTTTCTCAGTACAGTGCTTCAGGGACTACTTACACAGCATCACCAAGTGATCAGAGTTGGCAACAAATGGGATTGCATTAGTTGTTTCTTTATTTTCTTTCGTCTTCCTCTTTCTGTTTTAAGCAGCCTACCACACTGTATGTAGTACAGTAACATATGAAGCCGATTTAGTGACAGTACTATGGAGGAGCCTTGTTTGTGGTTGTTAGCATTGCATTACGTGTGACACTAGATATGGTAACTCAGACTATAGGATGGTAGGATCATGCCGGGAGCTTCCCTGTGTGGGTACCCAGGAAAGGAAGCAGGGTGGGTGAGTCAGGAAGTAGGGAGATAACAGGAAGTAGAAGATGACATCAGCTTCTGAGCCATAGGGAACTAGAAATAGAGAACCACGGTAAGAGTGTAGGAATTAAGTCAGCATAGGATGTGCTAACTTGCTAGCTCCAACAAGCAACTGTGTGTGTCACCTTTAAAATAGATAGAAATGGAGGCTTGGGAAGAGCGGGAAGTACCTGCAATGAAGAAGAGCTCAGGAAAGCGTCTGCCAGGCAGGTGTGAAATCCCAAGGTAAGCGTGGCCATGCCTGGGTACTGCCCGCGAGCATGTGCAGGAGGGAACTGGACTGCAGAGAGGATGAGGAACGGGGTTTACTCACAGGTTAATGGAGGGTAGAGGCAAACAGGAAATGAAATGGATACAAGTTGCCAGGAAAATATTTGGTTGCAGAAGCATACGAAGTGTAAAACAGAGTTACAGTCTTTAGTGAAGGGGGGATAAAATAAAATGACAGTAGATACATCACTCAATGGATTTAGCTAAGTTGGGGCCCGCTGGTTTTTAAGTCTCAAACCCAGGACAAATGGCTGAGGTGCCTATTTAACATATCAAAGTGGACCTGACCTCTAGCTTCTTCCTGCATCCCTGGGTCCCTCCCTGTTACAAGGTATGGCTGGCACATTCTGCTCTCTACCTTGAACTCTCCAGCCCGGGGAACTGGGCTGCCCTTCCCTCAGAGGCTCTTCCCTATATATAATCCAGACACTTTTGTTATCAGCACCTTTTGGGCCTTTGGCCTCCTGGCGGCTGCACCTGGTTCCCCTCTTCCCTTTCTCTCTTCCTCTCCCCATCTCCCCACATGGTCCGGATCATTCTGGTCATGTCCACCCTAGACCCTCCCACTGGCTACCCTTTCCCTTTTATGTACAATAAACCTTCTCGTCCACCACACCTGGGAGCAGCCATGTTGTTTCCTTCCCTTTTATTTCTCCTTCTCATTCACTGGTCATGGTAGAATGAACACATTGAATATCCCTCTGCTTCCCCTTCACAGGCTCCCTCCATTTCTCACTTCCTATTATAGACACATTAAAGGAGCCGCAGCCCCTCGTAGGGTGCCGTCCTCTGACTTCTCTGGCTGAGCATTGACAAGGCGCCTATCTCCCTCTTTCAATGTCTTTTCCCTAGCTTGAGGTGCAAGCTGAAGCTACCCCTGCTTATTCACGAATTCCTTCACTGCTCTCCCTGCCGCCTCTAGTCTACATCTCCTCTTTGCTTACTTCCCCATGACGGAAAAAGTTGAGCCAAATCTTACACATGTTTTTTCCCCCCCTCTCACTTCATATTTTTTCCCTGACACAGTTTTAAACAGTAACGACTTCTACATTGACACCTATAATGGCAAATGGTCATATGTTCAGCCGCCTACTGGACGTTTTGCTTGGATGTCTTAAATGTTTCAATTCAACAGTTCTCAAGCCAAACTCAGATTAGCCTTCCCACCAATTGCAGTTGGCAAGTCTTCCTCATTCCAGAGAACCAAGCATATCCATCCTTTCTGTCCTTAAAGCCCAGAGCACAGACATCACACCTTACCACCCGCCTTTTCTCTCCCATCAACTTAATCAGAAAGTCCTGCTACTTTTATTTCCTAGTGCCCTTTCCCAAACTCTTAGTTCAAGACTCTTTCACTTATTACCATCTCCATGGCAGTGGATCTTTAATCATCCATTTTATTATTTCAAATAATGCCTTATGTTCTTTGATGCATTTCCCATTGAATACTGAGGTCTGCAGCCCATTTCTCTTGAATCTCAGAGACTGCAGTCTGGTAGCCAAAGAAGCACTATTGAAGTAGCCCCATGTGTCTTTGGGGCAAGGTCATTAAGGCAAGGCAGCCTAGCTTTGTTTGCTGGGCTACTCATATCGGGATCCATGACAACCCAGCCATATAGAGAAACACAAGTGGAAAACCCAGGTGGTAGTTCTAGTCATTCAGTCACCAAGGCACAGTGAGTGAGTCAGTGATCCTACTTTTAATAAACCATTCACTCCTAATTTTAATTCTCCTCAGCTGAAGCTCCCAACCTTAGGCAGTGGCCCTAACCTCCTTTGCTTTCTTTTTCCATATTCCAGCCCCAAATGCCTGTCTACATCCAAGAAAGATTTAATGCATTGTCATAATACAAATGGTTACTCTAATTTGGTGAGTTTTGGGGGGTAATTTGGCATGCAGCAACAGTAGCTGACACATGGCTATATCTCATTTACCTTCACATATTTTTAACCTACTAGAGTAACCTCTCTATTAAAACTGCTGAGTCCATCTCTCTCCTCTTGACTAAGGATCAGAACTCTCTTTAAAAATTTTTTTTTATTTTGAGACAGGGTGTCTTTTATATAACAGCCTTGCATGTTCTGGAACTTGCTTGGTAGTCCAGGCTGGTCTCGAACTCACAGAGATCCGCCTGCCTCTGCTTCCCGAGTGCTGGGATTAAAGGTGTGCGCCACCACCGCCCGGCTTCAGGATCAGAATTCCTAATGTGAGCCCAGGACTCTCCAATGTGTCTCTACCCTCGTCTAGCAGCCCACACCCCTTGCTCCAGCTGCTCTGGTTTTCTTTCGGTTCTCGGAATTGGCTCTGCTCCTTTCTGCCGTAACGATTCCTTTATGTGCCACTCTCCTAACGGCACCATGCTCTCCTCTCATGACCATCCATCCAACAAACCATCCCAGATCAGTCAGACCTCTTCGCTGAGGCCTGTTTGACTACACTCTCAAGATCAGGTTTGTCATCCTTCATAGTCCCATGTGCATTTCCAGCACGAATCTTGTCATTGTTGCCAGAATTTTATGCTTCTCTCAGAAGGTTACAACAAGACCCAGAGTGACTTGTATTCAACATTTGCAGTATTAATCTGCTGGAAGAGTACAAAATGGATTGAATCAAGAATGACGAATACATTTTTACATGTTGGGGGTTCTTGTTATCCGGTGTCTGTTTCTGTAACAAAATACCCAAAATATCAATTGCTAAGGGGGAAAGTCTTACTATTTCCCAAGGATTCAACCTATAGCTGCTTGATGCCATTGCTTTTGGGCTGTGGTGGAGAGCACATTGCATGTGTGGGAGCATGTTGTAGAAGAAGATACATAGGTCATGGTGGTTGGTGTTTTCTAGAGAGATAGAACCAATAGAAAAATGTATATTACAAAGGAGATGGATTAGATTGACTTATGTGATACAGGCTGAGTGGTCTAATAACGACTCTTTATAGTCTGGAGAGGTGAGGTTCTCAGGAACCTGCAAGGATACATCACTCGGTGCCAATCAATCTGGGGTTGAAGACTCAGAACAGTGGTTCTCAACTCTCCTAATGCTGCAACCCTTTAATACAGTTCCTCACGTTTTATTGACACCCACTCATAAAATTATTTAAGTGCTACTCCATACTGTAATTTGCTACTGTTATGAATCATAATGTAAATATCTAATAGGCAGACTATCTTATATATGACCCCATAGGGATCAAGACCCACAGGTTGAGAACCAGTGACCTAGGGGATTTCTGGAGAGCCAATGGTTTTCAGTCTCCAAGGGAGACTGAAGAAGCTGGGTTCCCATGCCAGGAATGGTTGGCAACAGCATCACTGTTGATGGATGGAGTAGTAAGAAGCAAATGTGAGCTCTGCTCTCAGTCCTCTGTACATCTACTGAAAGGTGCTGTCCATTTGAGGGAGGTTCTCCACTTTTCAGTTAATCCTTCCAGGAAATATATTCCAAGATACCATATCCAACCAGACTAACAACTAAAATTAACCATTGCAAGTCTGCCCTGTGTCAGCTTGTTACCCAACAACATTTCCGTATGTTTTACTTAATTTTCAAATGAAAAAAAATAATGAAGTCATAATTCTGCCTACTATAACAATACTATCTATAAACAAAAAATGTATGGTTCTTCTTCCAGAACAGAGGACAAAGTCTCTTTTAAAAATATTTATTTTTATGGGCATATGTGTGTGCCTGAGTGTATTGTATATGCACCACATATGTTCAGGAGCCCATGGAGGTCGGAAGAGGCATCAGATCCCCTAGAAATGGAGCCACAGATAGTATGGAATTGTAGATACTGGAGATTGAACTTGGGTCCTCTGAAAGAGCAGTAAACACTCTTATCTATGGAGCTATCTTTCTGGTCCAGATGGCTTTTGAGGAAATAGATTTATAACAGTTAACTACTGATATCTCAATTGATGCCACATTGCACGATAAAGAAGTAGGAGAGAAAGCACACATTTGCTCAATGTATGTGTATAAAAGCACAGACACAACAAAATCCTTCCTATATTGCATTGCGGCTTTAGGTGGTATTTATAAAACCCATCATTTACTACCTATCATGTATTTTTTCTACTCCCAGCAAGCACGTAGGCAGATCTTTGTTCTCTGACTGGAAGAGGGACTCACATATTAATTCCTGAGGGGTGTCGGACATTTATCATCCTGCTTGGATTGGGTTGTTGTAGTTTCTCTTTGATCTTAATCACAGGACATGGCAAAACCCTGAAGAATCTGTTACACTCCATTCTTTTGTGGAGAAACAGTCTAATTTCCCCCTGGTAGTTTGGATCAGTAACTCCTACTAGCAATGTAACTCATTTTTTTTTAGCTGATTGACTTTTGGTTATCAGGAGCCTGAAGTGGCTTAAGAAAGTTTGAAGTCTTAACCTTTAGTTTAATAGAATATTTGTTGTACTCCTTTCAGAAGTTTCCCATTTGAAATAAAAAACATACAGACCTACAAAGTATATACCAATGGGAACAGGATGCAAACATGTTGTACATGGGTCCTGTGGATGGTGGTTGGCTGTATCATTCTCATTTTCACTCCTGGTTGTAGGAGAAACTGGATCGTGTGTAGGACACTGATCTAGAATATATACAGCCTTTTTTAAAAAAAGAATCTGCCCCAAGCTTCCAGACTTTTGCCACTTCTCAGTGCTGTAACTATATCTTTAAGAGTCCATCTCACTATTCTTTCAGAGAAGCGGCTCCAGGAAGGTCGGTGGATTCTGTGGGCATGGGACTACTGTTATACTTCTTTGTCTGTGAAACAAGTTCCCCCTTTTTTAGGAGTAATGCTGCCTGAAAATAGCAAAGAAGGGATAAGGCACTCTGTTAAATCCATGGGTGGTCATTTTGACTGACATATTACACACAGGAGAGGCAAAGCCAGACCAAGAGGAAGTGTGCCAGTGAAGACAAAAATATTGCACTTTCCTTGATG